ATTGCCTGTTGGTCCACTCCCTCTGGGACACCTGGCATTGGCCACTGTCGGTAGACAGGATACTGGGCTAGGTGGACCTTTGGTCTGACCCGGTACGGCCGTTCTTATGTTATGTTCTTAATCAAAACCAGATAAAAACTGCAAATCTACATACATAAGAATTCAAAATTAAACCTTGAAGAGTTTAAGGACTTCATGAATACAGAAGCCTAAAGAACCAAGAATGACTTGCCAGCCACTTACTTCAACTAGTGACTTTCATAGTGATGAAACTCATGCTGATGTTGCAATATCAAAAAGCTTTAAATAAAAGTGAATTCTAGAGCTCAAACATAAGGCTTGGAGTCAGATCTGGTTCTTCCCAAAACTGTTATACAAATCCGAGCAAAGTATTTTACCCATCTGTGGTAGTTGGATAATACCTATCTTTGTGAAGTACTTTGGAGATCCTTAAAAAAAGTGGCAGTAAAAGTTTTAGTTATTACCAGGCAAGACATACAAGATTGTTTCATGCTAATTTTTAATCAAGATTACTGATTTTAAAAAAAGCCAAATGGCAATAGGCAGCCTATACAATGCATAATGAAAGTACTTTGGTGCTAAAGGCAAATACCTAATGTATATCCTTGTGCGTTATCTTAGGTGTGGCCCTTGATTCTTCAAAGTATGAGGAAAGAAAAAGCTTCTATTTAGTACTAACAGTGAGGTTTCACCAAGAACAGTATGAAATACATTGTATAGGCTGGTCCGCATACCCTTGCGCCAAAACACCTACATTGATTTTAATTCACACCTGGTGATATTTTAGTGCATGTGGGTACCAAACCTAACAATTAGATCTGATTTTCACAAAAATAGCTATATCAAGTATGTGTAGTAATACTTCATTTCCCGTAAACAGAGCGGGTGAAGTACAGTAAATAGACTAATAATTCGCCAACTTTTTCTGCTCTGCAGAACACTGAAATATCCCCTCATGAACTATCTGCTCCTTCGCGCACACACCACCCATGACTTCCCAGGTTTGGCTATCAAAATATTTAATCTACAGACCACTACATTTATTTTACACTGTCCCATTTTTGCTATGCCACAGATTTTTGTATTGACAATTCCTAACTGCTTTGTAGATGTCAGGGAAACTGAAGGGTCAGGCAACTGGAAAGGAAGAGTTGGAACTTTTGGCACCTGGGTATGCAAACTGGTTTGAGACTGTGGGTAAAGAATGTAAAATTGATGTCTGATAAGATAATCAGCAAATAGCTGACAATGCTGACATTTGTACTGCCATATTTAGGTTTTGAGTAGATAACCCATTAAGATGCATAGGGAATTAACATTTCTCAGTCATATTGTTGCAGTCAGGACAACAGTGCTATCACCTTACACTTGATTCACATTCTATGGTTACCTTCACAGCCATCAAGGCAAGACACAACATCTTAATCTCAAAAAATAAAACAGACTCTGGCACAGCCTTCTACAAAGAGAGATGGAGTCCAGAGCATACCGAAAGCTTTGCCTAGGACTCTATAGCCTCAAGAAAGACATTTTACCTTCTTGTCTCAGTTTCCCCACTCATGCAACAGAGATGCTAAGGGACTAGAATAATAGAATATCAGGGTTGGAAGGGACCTCAGGAGGTCATCTAGTCCAACCCCCTGCTCAAAGCAGGAGCAATCCCCAGACAGATTTTTGCCCCAGATCCCTAAATGGCCCCCTCAAGGATTGAACTCACAACCCTGGGTTTAGCAGGCCAATGCTCAAACCACTGAGCCATCCCTCCCCCCATAACCTCCCAGTCCCTAGTACTATCCGCAGAGGGCTTTGAGCGCACAGGTCCCACAACATTCAGCGTTCACACAGTCAGAGCCCATGCGACTATGGGCAGGCAAACTTCACTGCCGACAAAGGAGGCTCAGCGTTATCAAGAGCACGCAGCCGGGTAGGCCGGGACAGAGCTCCACCAGACGAGGGTTTCCCGGAAGTGGCCACACAAAGCAACGGTTGGCTTCCCCCGGTGCAGGAATTGAGGAGACCCCCCCCCCAGGGCTTGGGGATTCCGCGAG